CCTGATATGACCTGATATTGACTGCTACAATATAAAGCATAGACACCAAGAGTTTCTGAGTAACTGTGCGAAACATTAACTCATACTGCCCATGGTCTATCTATGTGTACTGGGTACCAGAAGCCAGCTAGTTAAACTCAAAAAGAAGAAAAATCATATCGCTTTAGGTATATTCTTCTGCATCATTATTTGCGAAGGATTGGACGCCTTGGAAAAGTTTGCAAAGCATCGTTTCACAGCTGCATGCTCTCTGAGAAAAGTACTACGTCACTTACGCACCTTTTTGAGATTTTACTTATTTTATTTTCACTATGCAAGCTTTTAACTTGTACAATGAAGCTTTCCATGAAAGATGAAATCTCTCTTAACTGAGCATGATGTTTTTTCTTCAGATAATTATTACATTTGGAGACATTGAAAAACTGAAGTCTTTTATAGCTATGTCTCTGCTTCAAAATCATCGTCTTCTGAAAATTATGTTGTGTAAAATGTATTGTTAAATCACTGATATCTGGTTCCAAATTTTCACGATTTCTTTTCGCCAGTTTCCTCCTCCTCCACCTCCTCGTCCTCGGAGGTTGGACACCGGAGACATTCACAGGAATTATTATAGACATCCAGTCTGTCCTTGTCCGGCGCCTTGACGCACTTCTCTGTGATCTTCCTGCAGAAGTGGCACTCGGTGTTTGGGTCCATGTTCCAGTAGCTGGTCATCATGTTCACCGTTCTCACGGGGAGGTTCATCCAAGTCTCCCCGTCCTCCCCCAGAGTGGGGTCGTACGTGTCCTCTTTGACCACCTTTTTGGCCCCACGGGAGGCTCTGATCCACTCCTCGATGTCCGTTTCGTTGGTCTGGATCCCTTTGGACATAGACTCCACGGACCTCATGGAGTGTCTGTACTTGCGATTGCGCAGGCTCCCGCGCATTTTGGAGTAGACCCCCATGATGCTCCCTCGTGGACTGGTGGGGTCAACCTTCACCCCAAAGCACGTGCAGGTCAAGGTGCCCTTGACGTCCTTCCGAAACTTTTCGCTGATGAGGCAATAAACGATGAGTTTCAAGGCGTTGCCGCTGTATCCACAAAGGAGGACGATGGAAGCGTTAGAGTCCAGAAATACAGTATCTTCAGGGTACGTCTCCGTGAGGATGAAGTATGTCACCCAAGGACCCTGCAGGAGGAAGGACAAGATGGCGATGATGATGGTCATTCTTGTGATCCGCTTCATGTAATTCTGGTGCTGCACAAGCTGCTGATAGTCCGTTGATGAAATGCTGCCACTGAAACTCCCGGGAAAACTGCTGCTTTGCAGGCTTCCCTTACGGGTGAGACTAAGGCGGGGTCGGACCTTCATTTGGTAGATCAAGGAACGAAGGATAAAATGAGTTAGAACTACTACTATGGAGAAAGGCATGATGAATTGTGTGAAGAGAAGACATATTGGTAGGGTAGACTTCCAAAAGTGTTCCGCCTCCACACTTGTGTATCCACAAAATGTCTCTTGGGCGGTTTCGGTGATAATTGGATCCGTTCCGTTTATGGGCAGTAAGTCATTTTGTTTATAAGGTGTACCCCTTGTCCAGAACGTGTGCATGCTTAGCAACCCGCTCACGACAAAAATTAAGAATATCAACCGTCCGGAACGACCAAAGTTACAGCACTCAGCAGCACGTGCTGGGAAGCAGACAACAGCAAAGCGATCAAAAATGGCAGCAACCAAAAGCCATGTTACTGCATTTTGACTGGTGAATAAAGAGAAGATTTGAAACTGGCAGAAAACGGCATCAAATGCTCTGATGTCTAAGAAGTGAAACACATACAAAACTATCCGGAAGACACTATACCACAGAACCATCACATCGAACAGTGCTATGGCGCCAAGGTAGGCTCCGATGGCGGTGCGATGAGCTGACCTGGTCGCTATGGTGACGAAAACTAGGATGTTGAACAGTGTTCCTAACGACAAAAGAATTGGACCACCAATCTTCCAAAAGAGGTTGATATCGAAATCAAGTCGATGGATATCCTTCAGTATTGTTTTACTTGCAGACATACTTAGAAACCTTAACAGTAGCAAAATGTAGTCGCAGTATGCGTTTAACTTTTCCTCTAGATGTTCAGGAACAACATCTGCTGCGCATGCTTTGCCTGGCAATAATTTTCAGTTGTTTGAGGGAAAAGTTTTCTTATATTCTCATCATATACGTCTTTAGTTCAAAATGAATCATTTAGAATAAGCAATATAGCCATGTGCATCGTAAAGGTAATTCATCATTCTCCGAGTCTCCTTTCTTGTTTTACAGTATTATTTCATATCGCCGATGTCCACAAAAACCAATCCTACTGTAATGAAATGTGCCACATTTGTCATATCATATAAGTCGTTTTCTCTGTTGCCATAACAAAGGTCCTCCCTCGCTCGTATCCCTGTCCTATGTAGTATACAATGTACCTGTAACCGGGGCGAAGTATAGGTTTTTACCTGTATAATCTAGACTTAATATTGGCGGCGAGAATTCCCTTGTCGATTCATTATTGGGATATTTCATGTCATCACGCAGTAGCTGGTGTAATTGCCAGCAAAATGCCTCGCTGAAGGTCAACGACTGGTGGCACACGTGGGCATCTCTGACCTCCCTTCGGGAAAATTCTGTTTTGGACGGTGGTCCCCGTCCGGTGCAGCCATTTACGCCCTTGTTTCGTTCATTAAATTCACATGATAAGTGTAAGGCCTTTATATAGCAAAACTGTATTTTTTGATGGAGTTTTCAACACATTTTCCTTAGTCGCCAAGGTAAACCATCCCCAAAACGCTTCTCAGAATAACTATCCATATACTTGTTTTAGTACCTTCGTTGGTTAATTTTACCAATGTCTACGACGTGAGTAACACAAAAAGGATTGAAAGATCATATTCTCAACGATTTTGGATAGGTTATACCTTAAATTATTTATTTTTATATATTTATTATTTTGTATAAAGGTCTATCGCATGATATAGCGACCCCTGTGAGAACTGAGCAGCATCACTAAAGACATGCAATGTCCATCAGTGCTTTCTTTAAATATCTCTCCAAGGGCTGTCGTAGAATACGTAATTTAACCTTTCATGCAGTGATTTGTTCATACAAGGAGAAAAGGGGCCTCTCTGCATCAATTCACGCCATTCGCAAATATTCAGATGGCGTGATTACAGAAATACATGCCTCCCATCACGTGGCACTGCCATGGAAACCCCAGTTTCAAACGAACTTATTTTTAACAAATTGCAAAGATTGATTACTTTGCAGGTTAGGGTTCACGTTCATTCGCTCCTGTTTACCCCGGAGGAAAGAAGTATACATGTGCAGTATAAGATCATTTAACTTCACACTCTGAATTTCGGTATTTATTTTTGCTGCTGCCTTACCAATAATATATGGTGTAAAAAAGCAGAGAAGGTTTAAAAAAATTATATGGTGTGTACAGAACAGAATATGTCCTAATAACAAAAAATCGTAAAAATCATAAGATGATAATGAAGTAACCAAACCTAACGATTTCTCTAATCGTAAAAAATAAGCTAATATAAAGATTAATCAAACCTAACGACTCCTCTCATCGTAGAAATCATCATAAGCAATGAACATATACATAACCAAAACTACCGACTTCTGTAATCGTAAAAATTATAAGCTATAGTATTAAGGTA